AAGTGCATCCGGAGAGAGCGAGAGAGGAAATGCGTAGTGGCGGGAAAGAGTCTCTGTCGCATTGATCGAGTCATTGTGAGAAGATTAATTATTATTCTCTTCATATCTTTCGCAACAACGCACAGATGTTGGAATTGAGAGATGCAAAATATTAATGTCTGTCCTTCGCAGTTGCATTTGGATGTCAAGAACACGATATGTGCCCATTTCTTGACTTGAATTCTCATCATGATCAACTCGCATTGACGATGCGCGCACGAGGAAGAAAATGTTGGCCTGAATGGCTTTTTTTTCGCCCGGAAAACGAGTTCTTTTTCGGACATTAAAAATGCCCTGAAAAGACGTCTCTTTGGTCAAAAATGCATCTCACGAATTGGCTTCACGTGTTTCGCTGTTTTTGGGGTTGTTCACCTCTTCAGACTGAGAATCACGGTGTGCTGAAAAATGCCCTCAGCCCCAGATGATTCCATCCAATCGCCAGAGCCTCGCGGGAGCCCTTTATTGTCCCTCCTTCTTCCGCGTGTTGAGACACACACTCTTTGTTCTCTCTGGCTTCGCTCGAGAATTCCTCCATCGGCGGAATGTGTGTGACAGAGCAAAAGGCTTGATGGATGTTGAGTACTAAAACACTGTGCCGGCTAACAATTTGTGTATAAGTTTAATTAAGACGCCCACATGGTGTCAACTTTCATCACGATCATCATCACGAATTTCTGCGATGGGTTTTGTCTCTGAAGAGACGCTTAGAGTTGGAAATTTTCCTAGATTAAGAAGGGTGAGAGAAAACGATTAACTCTTGGCACCTTTGGCAAATTACCCATGCAAGAATGGTTGAACTACCTTAAGAAACCTTCCAGGAAATCATGCAATTGAAGCTCAGTAATTTCTTAGATAAGTTGACTTTCTATCTAAATTCTATGTGAATTCTTATGCCTCAACTCTGATAAACCCATAATAGAGTAAGTAGGATTTCCTTTTAATTTTTTCGTCCTCCAAATCAAATTTTTGTCTGGCTTCTTCATCGCGTCTCTGCCTCGAAATTGAATTCTTTAATTGTTCCTTCACGTATGAAGAAATATAATTAATTTTGTCTACAACTCTGTCGCCTCATGAATGGGTTTTTCTGCCTGGATTCTCATCATTATCACTGTTCATCATCATAAGAGTGACCAAATCTCAACTCTTGCCTGTGACATTGAATTGCCTGAAAATATGCCGTGACTTGATATTGATTGGCGAGGAGAGAGAGATGCTGATGTGAAAATTAGAACATCACAGTTTTCGCTTGGTAAATTGGGCTCTTTTCCCTCAGACAGAATTATTTTCGAGCTGTCGTGGTTGCGGTTGAATGAGCAAACATCTGAGGGCATTGAAGAAATAAAAGAGTGGCAGAGCAGAAATGTGTCTGCTGAATATTTAGTTTTTATCTGGATTATGTCAGTTGTTCACATATTTTCGAGTGAATATCCAACGAAGGTCACCTGCGAATTGTAGTGCTGGCAAATTAATGTATATAGTTTGATTTCTTTTATCAAAAACGCTTGCTTAGCTGGCTTTTATAATTACACAGTGTGCCAGTTGATACGATGAAAATTGCCTGTCTGAAATTCTGTGGGCAAAATGCGAACACTCGCAAAAATACGTCATGATCACGTATTATTAAGTGATCTCAGTCGAGAGCATGTGATCCGATTCGGTGTCGTGGTTTCATAAATTTTGTCGATTAAATACCATTTGAGAAAGAGAGTTGAAAGTTGTCCTAATGATTTAGAAGAAGAGATTTCGAAGGATTTCTTTCCACTTGAAAAACAAAAAAGAGTTTCTTCTGGAAATTCCCCAAAATTCAATGCGGAAAAATAATAATAATTGTGCGAATGAAAAAAACAGAGACACTTTTTCTTTGGTTGCTGATATAAAATTGTGTGCGACTAAAGGAAAAAAGCGCGTCACGATCAATTATCATGACCCCGCGTGAGAGTGTCGTAAATTTGAAATTGTAGCAATTTTTATCATGGTTGTATTCGTGCAATTGACAAATTGATAGGGCTGTGATGTTCATTCAGTTGAAAATTGCCAACACTTCTTTGCAAATATCACTGATCGCGAGAGTTGAGTTGAATAGAGAAAAAACAAGTCGCCAAACCACTTGTGAGTGATAATTAACATTTTTCCAAGTGAGAAAGAACACAAGTCAATGTGAGATGTCATTTCAATGCCTTTATGACTTTTCTTCTCACTCTAAGACGAATGATGAGGAGTTCAAGTTCGCAATTTTCACGGCAATGTTTTGTCTATTTATCATACAAATTATATTACAAGTTTCATTTGGAATTTCATTAAAAGTCTGCATGGCAAATTCCTCATTACTTTTGCAAATAAAATCAATTTTATTCAGTCTGAAAAACCACAATTAATAGTGAGTTTAATATTGAAATGAAGTGCAATTAGTGTCCTATAAAATTGCACATAAGAGCTGAATTATTTATTTTTGTGGCATTGAAATGCTATTTTCCATCATCCTAGTTCTTGGAATTTAATAAATTTGATGCATTTTTTGTTAAAGAATTGAAATATTCAGTGGGAAGAAAATTAATTTGATTTTCTGCAATGAGATTATGCTAAAATTACCCTATTTTTTCGGTATCGTTTTAGAAGATCGTTAATCGACTCTGTATTCATATTAAATTTTTATCGTCAAATAATGCAAAATATTGCGTACGTCTTAATTAGAATTTAAGTTTATTGTGGCTATTAAAGTGCATTTTACTGTGATTTTTGTGGAAATTAGGCGAGTTTTTTTTCACAAAAATGAAGCAAATGACAGCTCGTGTTGACAGTTTTCGCACTCTGCACACTTTTCACGGCATTTCTTCACGCAAATTTGCCATAAATGTGTTATTCAGAGTATTTTCCTCACTCTTGGCGTGATATTTTTCCTGCAAATCGCGTGAAAAGTTATAATCATAACCTCCAAATTGTCTCTTTGTGGGTTTTCTTACTCAATCAATCTTGTTTAACGATTCTGAGTTTTGAATTGTGCTTCAGAACACTTGAATTTGCCACATGCTCGATGACGTGTGATGGCATTGCCCCAAATTAAATTCTCTACGCAGGAGAAAACTCATTGATAAACTCACAAATGTTGAAAAATCGCACAGTTTCTGAACACTCTTTCGCTTTTCATCAATCTCCAAGTCAATGTAAAAGGAAGATAAATGCGATCTTGGCTGACGTCAGGCACTTATGCTGTGTAAATTTGCCGAAGTTGATCAAGCGCCGCGAGAGTCCAGAGAAGTAAAATTAGAATATTTTAGGTTGAAATTGAGGAACAAGTTTCTCTCTTCGCACACGCACATTTTTTGGGAGACTCGCGAGATCGCGTCACACGCGAAGATAAAACATTTTCACGGTCAAATCTTATGAAATGGATCAACACAGAGAGACGCGGAAACCTGTGTGGAAATTAACCCTTCATTGGTTGTGTTCGCAGATGCTTCGGGAGCGAGAATTCAGGCGGTGAAGCCTGTGGTGGAGATGGACGGCGATGAGATGACCAGGATCATTTGGCATTTCATCAAGGAGAAGCTCATCTTCCCGTACGTGAAGATTGAGTGTCTGTACTACGATCTGGGGCTTCCCTATCGCGACCAGACGGACGATCAGGTGACCATCGATGCCGCCCATGCGATCCAGAAGCACAATGTGGGCATCAAGTGTGCCACAATCACGCCAGATGAGCAGCGCGTGGAGGAGTTCAAGCTGAAGAAGATGTGGCTGAGTCCCAACGGCACGATCAGGAACATCCTGGGCGGCACGGTGTTCCGCGAGCCGATCCTCTGCAAGAACATTCCGCGCCTGGTGCCGGGCTGGACGAAGCCCATCGTGATCGGTCGCCATGCGCACGGTGATCAGTACAAGGCCAAGGATCTGGTGCTGACGGAGCCTGGACGTCTGGAGCTGGTCTTCACGTCCAGCAGCGGCAAGGTGACGAAGGAGGAAGTGTTCAACTTCAAGGCCGGCGGCGTGGCCATGGGCATGTACAACACGGACGAGAGCATCCGCGCCTTCGCGCACTCCTCCTTCCAGGTGGCGCTGCAGAAGAAGTGGCCGCTGTACATGAGCACGAAGAACACCATCCTGAAGCGCTACGACGGCCGCTTCAAGGACATCTTCCAGGAGATCTTCGACAGCGAGTACAAGAAGCAGTTCGACGACGCGAAGATCTGGTATGAGCATCGCCTCATCGACGACATGGTGGCGCAGGGACTTAAGTCTTCCGGAGGCTTCGTGTGGGCGTGCAAGAATTACGACGGCGACGTGCAGTCGGACGTCGTGGCTCAGGGATATGGTTCGCTCGGCATGATGACCTCTGTCCTCATGTGTCCCGACGGAAAGGTGAGCAATTCCTTCGTTCTCCTGCCCTAAAACGCGCTCATAACGCAATTTCCTTTTCTTCTCGCAGACAATCGAATCCGAGGCCGCTCACGGCACCGTGACACGTCACTATCGCCAGCACCAGAAGGGCCAGCCCACCTCCACGAATCCCGTGGCGTCGATCTTCGCGTGGACGCGCGGCCTGGAGCACCGCGCCAAGCTGGACGGCACGCCGGATTTGGCCAAGTTCGCCCTGGCGCTGGAGCAATCGTGCGTGGACTGCGTGGAGTCGGGCAAGATGACCAAAGACTTAGCCGGCTGCATTCACGGACTGCCCAATGTGAAGGAGGGCATGTACCTCAACACTGAGGACTTCCTGGCCGCTATTGCGGAGCAGCTGGAGAAGACAATGAGGAAGTAAAGCACTTCATCCGTAACTGAATTTTACACAGTTCACACACACACACACCGAGATTAATGTAAATTAATTGAATACATTTTTAATTTCCCCCATATTTGAGTGGTTTTCGTGGTTTTTCTTTCTTTGGGTTTTTTGGCGGGAGATTGTAGAACACTTTGCGAGTTCAGCGCCTCCTGTGGGGTTTTGCGAGATGACCTCAAGCGCCTGCAGCGCCGTTGGTGACTGGGTGACGAAATGAAGATGTAAACACACAAGACATAACCTGAAAAAGCAGCATGGCGAAAACATCGGGAAAGGAGGCAAAAGAGCAGAAAAATGTGGTGAAGAAGGCGAAGAAAGTGAAGAAATCTGAGTCGGATGAAGTTGAAAGAGTCGTGGAATCAGTGGAACAAGACATAGATGAGAAAATCCTGGAAGAAAACGATGGAATACTGTCTGACGAGTCAGATGAGGATTCCACGCCACGGAAGAAAGGTAGTGTTTGAGGTGATTTTCCCAATTTCCTGGCACTGATGAATCATTTCCCCACAGACACACCGGCTTATGATCCTTCTGAAGCCAGCAGGACTATTTTTGTCGGGAATCTGCCTACAAACACGAAGAAAAGCCAGGTGAAGGCGTTCTTCGCGAGTTTTGGAACTGTCAAAACAATTCGTCTGCGGACATTTCATGGCCAAAAGATCCAGAATTGTCGGCAAATCAAGAATCATCCGTGCATCACTGCTTACTTGGTGTTCGACAAGGATGAGGCGGCAATTGGGGCTCAGGAGGCCAGCGGGAAGGTCTTCCGGAAGGCTCACATTCGCGTGATGATGGCTGACGGGAAGAAGAAGTACTTCGATGGAAAGAGGACGATTTTCGTGGGAAATCTGACCTATGCTGTGACTGATGATGATCTGTACGAAATCTTCCAGTCGTGCGGGGAAATTAAGTACGTGAGGACGCTGAGGAGTCCCTTGGGATGCAAGGGAACGGCTTATGTGTGCTTCAAGAACCCAGAATCCGTGGGTTTGGCACTAGAACTGAATCAGACAATGATGAATGATCGGCCAATTCGTGTGGAGCGATACAAATCCAAGCCGAAGGCTGTGAAAGGCGCTCCGGAGAAACAAAAGGGACAAAAAGCGAAGCCTGGAGGAAAGAAACTGCCGCAGAAGAAGAGCGGTGGAAAGGCGAAGACGGAATTCCAAGCGAAAAAGAATGTGAAGCGCCTTGAGAAGGGTCCAAAGGGTGTTCAGAAGCAAAAACCAGAAGGAAAAACGACAAAAGGTGCTGAAGTAAAGGCAAAAGCTAAGGTGAGAATTAAAATCCTTTCTTAAGGTCTAATATTGACTAATAATTCACGTGTTTTACAGAAAAACAAGAAACATCGCAGTTCCGTGAACATGGGATTGGCCAAGAGGCTCAATCCGAAGCTGAAGAAGCCCAAGAAGGAGAAGAAATAAAGGATTCTAATGATTTTTTAAGGAAATTATCAATTTTTCCCGAGATTCACACCATTGCGATTTGAAATTGACCACAGTGAAGTGAGGAGAGATTGAGTGTCGGCTAGTTGGACGATGGTGAGAATTGTCCGGCGCTCTTCCATGGGTGGTCCGTGGGATTTCGCTGCGCGCTCCTGATTGGGCGAGAGTCTGACAGTGACAGTGTGAGCAGGAGTTTTTTGATGGCAAATTTTGGGATTTTGTAGATTTTCACGGGATTTTCAGCACTGTGCAGTGCGTGATCGGGTCAATTGGGCAGTATGCCTCGTGCAGGAGCAGCAGGAATGCCCTGAGGCAGTGTGCAGGGACGTGCAAAGACAGTGATTTTTCGCCATTCGTCCGCGCGGAGCATCTCGGGCGCCCCCCTCTCAGCAGGAGGAAAAAGTGGTGTGGCCGCGGGCATCGTGGATGAGCTTGTGGTGTGAAGTGGTCAGCAGTGTGTCGGAATGGCTGTGCAACTGGACCAGAACGGCAAGGATGACCTGAAGACGCAGTTCGTCACGCGGGAGGGCACCTATCGTCTCATGACGCTCTCGGAGTACTCGCGGCCCAATCGCGTCGGCTACACCAGCAACCAGAGCTCCCCGCAGGTGCGCGTCTCCATCGTGTCGCTGCCCAGCCACCAGGCGACGGCGCCACCCCCGCCGCCCGCCACCACCAACGGCCAGGAGGCGTCCGGGTACGCCCTGGCGGCGGCCGGAGGCGACCGGATATGCTACAACTTCGGCAAGGAGCTCTTCGTGTACGCCTACCGCGGCGTGAAGAAGGTACTCAGAGCGTCGCGAGCCATTACATAATCCAGAACCACCGCCTCTTGCCACCGTCTCGCCGCCGCAGCGAGATTTGTCATGTGTTTATTGGCACATCCGGATCGGCCAATTGACACACAATGCAGCGCTAATGCGTGCACTGAGGGTCGCCGCTTCCGCCACATACGCCGCGTTGGTCGGTTTGGGGGCGCTCTCGGGGTTTCCCAGGACGGTCACGTGGCCCTCAGGGTGGTTTCGCTGTCCGGGAACGCGTCAATTGGCCAGATTTGCCACCGTTTTCCTCCTTATCAGCACACTTTGATTTACACACGCTGATTTTTGAGCATTTTAAAGACTTTAAGCAAGAATCTGTGGCTAAAGACAGTCCAATTGGGCCCTGTTTTCCTCTAAAAATAATATATTGAAGACCTCTTTTAGTATTTTTGTATTTTGGTACAGAGAGATAAGATTTCCATGGAGTGACAAAGAGGCAAACACAGGTGGATAGAATGATATTTTTAGTGTGTGTTAGAAGGATTGTTATCTGTGGAAATGGAAGAAAGCAATCTTTTTTTCTTTTAAGAGATTACAAGTTCTCTAATCACAAATATTTAATCTACACGTGATAATATCAATGGAAATATTTTTGATGGGTTTTGCAAAAAGTGCATTTTCATGTCCAACTCTTTTTTAATTGTTACACAAGACGAAAATAAACCGTCGGAAGTTGGATAGTTTGTCATCTCTCCGCTCTCTCTCTCTCTTAATAACAAAACCGCCACAAATGGGGGGTTGACATTGAAAATTCATGATTAGAGGACAGAAGACAATTGAGGGGATATTTTCGTCTCATTAAGAATTCTTACGTGTTTCGTGGGAAAAAGGTTTTTCCTTGTCAAAAGGGAAATGCATTTGAGAAGTGAAATTATTCATGAGACAGAGAATAAGAAGCATTTTACACACAATTATCACGTGCTGATCATATTTTCTTGGTCATAAATATATTTTCTATTACAATTTATTGCAATAATATTATTTTATCGTTTTTTTGTGGAGGACAAATTGTACAATTTCAGGTTTTTACACCCGTCAATTGACACAATATTTATTGAACTGAGATTCTAATCCAGTGTCTTGATATTTTGCCTCTGTTTCTTGCAGCAAACGGCGGATCTGAGCAAGCCCATTGATAAGAAACTGTACAAGGGAACCAATCCGAGTTGCCATGATTTCAATTCGACCAACGCAATGGGCGAAGGCGCTCCACTTCTTGTGGGCTTCACCACCGGACAGATTCAGTTGGTTCAGCCGGGCCGCCGAGAGCCGGGAAAATTGTACAACGAGGAGGTAAAAAAGAGAGAAAAATCCCATTAGAATGCTTGCACTTTTATTTCTGCGTTTTATCCGTTTGTATTGATTTTCTTTTGCCATTCTAACCACGGGAATGCGGGATGGAAAATGTATTCCTTCGTCTTTTCTGTCTTATTACAAGAGTGTGGAGAAACTTTCTCTCTATAATAATGCTTTTGGTTTATTGTTTGGGATGAATCATTGGTTTTTCGTCTCTTCATTCGGGGGATTTTTCATTGCGGTTTTCGATGAAGAGGTGCCAATTTTCACTCGTAACGAAACTATGGGATGACTTTATAGTTAGTGATCAATTAATCTATAGTGCGGAGAGAGAAAGAGAGAGAAGTGACATGGAAAACCATTTCAAATTTTATATTTTATCACCTCTTCTCGGAGCTTCTCTATAAAATAATCGAGTGGCGTTTGGAAGACACTTGCTCCGCACGCTGATCTCTCTTCGTGTCATTTTACACACAAACACACACGAGTTTCTTTCAAGGGAAAAGAGAGAGAAAAGACGGTGATATAAAAATATTATTTGCCATTTCATTCATGGTGCCCAGAAGCTCTAAAAAGTCTTTCAATTTTTGTAACTCTACACTTTTTATCTAGTCTGTCCATTTTTCGTTCACCTTTCAATGCATAACACAACATGAACACCGTCTGGAGAATGTGGTTCTAAAGTCTGTCTATAGAATTTCAAGCTCTGCACTGTTAATCATACTTAAATCCCAATAAGGAGTCGTTGCAACTTTACAGATTTCGTATTTTAGTTCATAAAAGCTACAATTTTGCGTTGCAACTTTACACTTTCAATATCTTATATTGGCGACCGCTAGGCGGCGCTGAATGAATTTCAGTTGTCAAAAAATAATTTCAGAGTTTTTTAAGGCAGAATATTTCAACTTCCGTCCAATTTCTGTCCATTTTCCTCCACGTTGACGTATGGAAATGTTCTTTAATGTCAGTGAATCGTATTTTTCAGTATTTATCGAAGGATTTCCGAAAATACATGAATGGCCAGATTTAATAACCGAAAAACATCTGAAATATATGATTTGACTTCATGTTTCACAGAAAATAAATTTCATGCTTTCGTAAATGTTATGAATTCATAACTTTGACAGCATATTTAAAATGTCATGAATATAAAGTTGCAACGACTTCATAGCTAATTTCAATTCCACCACAGGCAAAATTATCACCTGATAAACCACAAATACACACACATATAGAGAAATAGTTTAATTTTCATCATATCAGCGCAAAACTATCAATTTCTCTGCACTGCAATTAGTTTACAAATGATCCGTAATTAATTGGGAGTATCATTCAATTATATTGCTTACAATCTAACGCGTTAATTTGATTCTATTTATCCAGAATCGTTCACATGTTACTGTTTAGTGTAAATAACATGAGTGGCTTTTAATAAATTCGTGGTGAGTTTAATGAATCGAAATTCATTTGAACAATCACTCTCTCTCTCTCTCTCTCTAAACAGTGACATTTTACATTCCAACAGTTTTATCAGCATTAAAGTTTGAAGTTTCACTGGTAAAATCTATTGGCTTTTGTTGTATATTTTCAACTGATAATGACTTTGAACATGAATTCATTTATCACTCTTCCAAAAATTGAGATGAGGGAAAAATAGAGCAGCAATTTTGGCGCTGACACACAAAAGACATTTTCCATATTGGGGATTGTATTAAAAATTTCATGTAAATTTTCCTATTACGCATTAATGTTTCCCCACAGGATTTCGTTATATAACATTACAGCCATTCAACTCCCGCGAGAATAATTTAAAACACAATCCAAATAGTAAATTCCTTTTCCTCTCTTTCTCCTTCTCCTCCCGTTTGTCAAACACTTTTATTCTCTTTTATTCACGCACACAGAAACACAATTGATTGTCGTAAAAATTAATGTAAAGAAATTTATTTCATAAATTATCATATGAATATTAATTAAAATTCTCGCTTGTTGCGAATGGCAAATTAATCAATTTCACCAAACATCAAAGGAAAAAATTCCTCCTCTGAACAATTATGATAGCGAAGAATCAGCAAAAATTTGAGTACAAAGAATGAAAGAGAGAAAAATGATAGAAGATATTCTCTAATCACAATTATTTTAATTCCTGCTGAAGATATTGAGACAGAAACATGTTCTGTGTTTTCCAATCTCTTTGCACAAAAATTGAGAAGTGCAAAGAAAAGAGAAAAAATAGATCAAAATTACCAGAGAATATTTTCATCCCTCCGTTTTTTTTTCATTATTCGCAATGCACATTCATCAAAGCCGACTCTCGAAGTGCATCACGATGAATGGAAAATTTGACTCATCATCACGCGACAGTTTCGCATTTTCCATTCTTCATCACAATGTTCAGAGAGTGAGGGAGAAAGAGAGGAAGTGTGTTGTTTGTTTTTAATTAAAAGCAATTAGAATTTGTGCCTATTAATTGATTGAGTGCCGCCACAATTCTATTCTAGACTCTTCTTAAGCTCAATGCAGAGAATTTATATACATTAAATCCCGACTTTTCTCTCTTCCACTACAAAATTTGCGATGGTGAATTGAGAGTTTCCACTTTTCATTCATCAAATTGAATTATTAATTCACAACTTTTCAAGTTCAATCATGGATCTTTCAATTTTGCTGCACTTTCTCATCGCATGCGAGAATTCTGCTAATCAAATTTCTACTAATACAAAATTACAGTAATGATTGAGTGTCTATGATTAAGATTTTGCCTGAAAAAACAATAAATCAATTTATTTTATTAAGTAAGATCTTAACTTATAGTCCAAAACAGATCAGATTTGAGGCAGAGATATTGCAAAATGCAGAAAAACGTTTTATTGAGGGATTAGAATTTCAAAATGAAAATTGAAATTGTAATTTAAAAATATATCGTGT